AGGCATTTTATATTAATGGCAACGAACACAATTTTCTCAATTTCCTGTTCATTGTACATAGATGGTAATGAAACCAGTTGTCCACAGTGATCTGAACTTAATTTTTATATCATGAATTTCTTGATTGGTACATCTGTAAAAATATTAACAATATAAGTTGCAATACACCCTACAATACGTGTAGCTTCAAAGAATAAATTATAAAGATTGAGTGATTTGAACAATGAACAAAATTTAGTACTAATGGAAGAAGCTACCAGGAGATGGATATTAAAGTCTCCCCCTTACTACAAGAAATTTATTCTGTATATTAAGCTGAACTAAAATTTCTTGCACAATATTTTCAAAGGTATCATACCTCGAATATTGGGATCTGTAAATACTGACAAAAATGAGTTGCTCAAGCTCAACACTTGCCATTCCTACAGATCGCTCAACAGAGAGGCTCACAATATCTTAACGTTCTTTACATGATATGGATTTATTAGCTAATATTAAGTAGCCATCTCGTAATGTAGTATCTCTATTGAAAGAACTGACCACCTGGTGATTACTGAAATTAAATATGGAGTTGTTATCTCTCAACCAATGTAATAACTCAGTTTTTTAGGTGTTTTTGGAAGAATGAATATTCACTAGAGTAATTGAAAGCTGTTGGTAGTGCCTTATAAGCTAAGTGAACCCCGTTCACGAAGAAAGGGCTCGAGAAAAATTAAGAACATAAAACGTCTCTATTCCACTTGTATCAGGTTTACGTCATTAACTTATTATTATTTATCCCTTCCCGCTTGGAAAATGCTCACACTATATTTATACAAAATACCCGATACAAGGGCTTCGCTCTCCTACACTTATTTTAAAAATGTAGGGGAAGCGCACGGCACCACAACGCCGTGCGCGTTGAGCGCCAACCATTTTGATGCACTCTCCCCGAAGGGAACGCTAATTCAGACACTGGACCGTAGTCCTCAGCAAAATAACTGGCGATCCAGTAAAAGTGAGCTTGACCCCTTGGTAGTGCGTAAGCATAAACATCAACCGAAAGTCGCGCATGCTAATACGTGTAAACGCCATACAGAATACGAAAGAATCCAGCCACAGTGAATGTACGTCACACGGTTTAGGCAAATAGGCACACTGGCCGTAAGCCCTCCGTGAGCCCCACCACCTGCCAGACCACCGCTCCTGAAGACGTGATGTAAGTGTATGGCATCACCACCAATTGCATGATCAGCACGGCTACTAGCCGCAGAGCGTGTCATGAGTCTACCGCTCACCTCAAGGGAATGGTATCCCACGTTGTGCGGCTTTCGGCCGCAGCCTTGAGAGTCTCCTCAGAGCCTCCCTCCAGCTACCACCCGCATGAGGTCGACACATATGCTCCACCAACCAATACAACGGCAGATATAGCCAAAAGGCAGTTATAAGATGTTAGTAATAAATTGCCATCAGAAAGGTTTTGTGAAACTGACGTTGAGTAAATGCATTTTCGATCTCACCCACCAACAAGTTGCCTTCAATCGTTCAAAGGTGGGAAAGTTACAATCCCCTAGTTGCCTCAGCCAGTATCGAAATCCTCGGCGTCGAAATATCGAGTGACGTGCAGTTTTGTGGTCACTTTGGCCACTAAAAAGCTTTGCGTGCTCAGCGGAGTGGGGTAGTACTTCCTGCCGGCACGCCGGTTGCAACTTCACAAGGCGCAGTTTCGTCCGCACATGGAATATTGTTCCCATATCTGGGCTGGTACTCTCCAGTGCCAGTTCCTTCCATTTGGTCGCATCCAGCGCAGAGCTGTTCGAATCGTCGGTGACTGAGCTCTTTCCGATCGGCTTGATCTCTGGCACTGCGAAGAGGTTTTGCATCTCTTTGCGTATTTTATTGCATTTATCACGGGGAGTGCTCTGAGGAATATTTCGGACTAATTCCAGCCGAACGATTTGAGCATCGCACATTGCGACAAAACTCACGATATCATACCATCCATACCATCTGGATGACTGGCGGTTCACCATTGAGCGATTTAAAAGAATGTTTCTTCCTCGTACAACTTTCTTTTGGAATAGAATACCACCAGAAATTTTCCTGGACCGATAAGACTTAAGAAACATCAAGAAAAGAGCCTCCTCCTTTTTTTAAAGACTGGCAACGCATCTGCGATTCCCCTGGGTTGGCAGTTGTTCATAAGCGGCGGTAGTCATTTAACATCAGGTTTGCCCCCTCTCCTTTATTACTATTTGCTTTATCGGATGACGATATGGCTCAAATGCTTCACTTTCCTGTATTTAACAAAGAAATACAACTTCTAAAGTATTAACGGTTGAGGCAAAAGTAATCATCTGATATTCTTTCTTTTTCATTTTTTTCTGCATTTTTTTAAACGAAAAGCTGGTGCTATATGTGGATTATTTATGTTTAATTCATTTGAATTTTTCCATTAAGTCAAGAAGAAGCTCGTCACAAGTGGCCGCCGCCAGCATTGATGACCATACGGGCCCTTTAATGGCATTTTCCATCACTTTTGGCAGAACTTGAGGCGATAGGTTTGCGTATTTGTGTCAGATATTGTCCTTGAGGGCTTGCAAAGTCTGAGGCTTGTTCATGTAAACACAATACTTCACAAACCCTTACAAATGGAATCCGGGTACGGTCAAATCTGGTGATCTTGGCGGCCCGTGCAAATCGCCAAAACGAGAGATTAGGCGACTCAGAAATGCCCGCTTTGAATTGTCGTTTGTGGCTCGGGCAGTGTGCGTCGTTGCACCATCTTGTTGGAACCATATGACCTCCAGTCCCGGGTCATCCAATTGATGAATAAGAAACTCGATAATCATGGCTCTGTAGCGGTCTCCGTTCACAGTAACCGTTTGCCCCTGGCGTTATCGTATATAAATGGCCCAAAGATTACTCCAGCTTAAACAGCATACCATGATGTAATCTTGAGCGGGTGAAATGGCTGCCCAGAAGCGAAAATTTTGGCGATTCACGTAATCGCTGAGGTGGAAATGAGCCTCATCGCTCATGTTGAGTTTTATTGTAAAATCTTCATATTATTGTTCGAGAAAAAATTGTAAAATCTTCATATTCTTGTTCGAGTTTGGCGTTCAACGCCTAACAGTTGCTTAAATACCATAACTAAATTTACGCAACTCCACTTAATTATGATTACAGACAAAATTTACGTGAAAATTACTCGTAATGGATATCAATTCTTTGAATTATGCATTACCATGTAGCCATGAGAAATCAGGGCAACGGATAGCAGCGTCTTCCCAATAACGACTAAAAATAAAAATAAACTGCGGTTTTCTTACCCGCTTGTCAAGTGAGGTAACTGTGGCAAATATTACCCTATGTGGCTATCTATGGGGGACGCATATGTTCAGAAGGACTTTAATAGACTATAATGGTAATGGTAATGATGATTTTGCATAATAAGAAATTTCCACTACTATGCACACTGTAGAATTTCCACTAAATTCATAGTAAACTTAACCTTATTCAGAAAACGAGTAACTAAAACAAATCATGATGATACAGAATTTTGTCCAGATGATAATAACATATTTTTAAAGAATCAGAGTGACAAACGCGCACACAGTCCACCTGATGGTAAGTGGATGCATATACATCTACATTTCCCTCGATTAATGCCCCGTTACCAGGAAAGAGGTTCTTCAGTTTTCTACACTTACCATACCATTACCACTTGCTATAAGCATTAAGCTGGTATTTTTTGAGAACGTAGTTCTACCCCAGCCGAGATGACTCTTATATAATTATAATAAAGCTGCAGCATGGCTCCATCTCGTTACATATTACACGTGTCATTTATGAAATTCAAAAGTAATAAAATTTTTTCTTTCATTTTTTTTAAAAACGTTACCCCTACACTAAGATTTTCTCTTGTATCGTAGGGGCAGTTTACAAACATTAATTGCACAAGGACAAACATCCAGACCCGGAACAACTATTTGTAGGCCATACAAATATTTGTTCCGTGTGGGATTTGAACCCGCGACCCCCAGCGTATCATTGCTAAGCCTAATAAGAAAGGATATAAAACCATTTTTTTTTTACCTCTGAATAAGAAAAATTCATTAAATGAACTTAAGACGTTGTCACTCCCAATTTTAATTTACTGAATACACCAGTTCTAAGAATGTAACGTAGCGCACACTTTTGTCATCTGTTAACAATGGTGAAGAGCACTACCGCCATATGCGGATCGTACGTCCATTGATAACAAAATCAGAAGCAATACTCATTTTATGGTCTTTAATAGGCCAAATATAATAATGATAATTATTATTATTAATTTAAATTATATTATTGTGGCATCGCTTTGAACGCATGTAAATAATTTTCCACACAATATCCCCTACAGAAAGCTTTACTTATCATCGACTCAAATTTTAGTACGTAAGTTACACTTTCATGCACTGTCATTTGATCCTATATTGATCAAAAATATTTATAAACAGCCGAACCTTAATATCAGCTAGCATATGAATTCATAGGGTGATTTTAATAAATTACCTGATTGGCATTTCTATAAAAATATCTATTTAAAAGATCTATTTTAAGTGCAAAAAACTCAAACAAACTGCAAATAGAATTCGGTGCAGTTGTTTTTCCACCGAGATATTTTTCTTTTAATTTATTATAAGCCAGTACTTGACCACAATCTCACCTGGTGGTAAGTGGTGATGAAGTGCTAGATGGTAAATTGGACTGTCTTTTCGTAACAAAGCCTATTCACACTTACCTTGAAGACGTCCAGATTGTATTCAGACGGAAATACAAATTCTGGCGAAAGACGAAGCAAACCACTCGGTTTTAATCCGTTGAATATCAACATCACGGGAGAGAAGACAGCCTGGTTGTCTAATAGTGAAAAGAAGAAGAAGGATGTTTCCCTCTACATATGATGATATGGCAGTCATAACAGATTTGTTATAATTAATCTAATTACTAATAATTTACCATTCTATTTTTTCCAGTGGGATGCGAGGTGAGCTCAGATACAACGTTATTGGACTTCATCCGATCTACTCTGAAATTATCTGGTACCAAGTACATGTGCACTGAAGCGGGCTGTGGTGCTTGCATCGTTTCAGCTGTTAGATTTCCCGGGGCACCAAACACGTCTGTGAATTCGGTAGGTTATGCTGTTTAAAATATGGTGTTGTTATTTTATATCTTGTAGATTTGATCGGATTTAAAATTATAAAGATTTTCAGTAGACTGGTGTTCAGTGTTAGTAAACAAAAAAAAACATTTCACCTACTTGCAGCAAACAATTTCAGTTTTAAAGTTTTAACCGTACCACTTACTCCCATGCTTGTTGACTTTACATCCTTAATTCCGCTGGTGTTAATTCCTTATTAATTGTTTAACTCCTATGAACATCCGGATCATAGGCGATGGTAGTCACTTACCATCACGTGAACTGCTTGCTAGCTTGTTAGAGTCTTCCATAAAAATATTGAAATGCCTTTGAAACACGATGCTTGACCCTCAAAAAAATAACAGCGCGTGCTCGTCATCTTTTTAAACATCCGATTACAGTGTAAAATTACTTTATTTTTAACTGTTAATAAGATACAAAAATGCACTTTATTGCAGTGTATGGTATCAATAGCATCATGTCAAGACTGGGAAGTCACCACAATAGAGTATTTGGGAAATAGGCTAAAAGGCTATCATGTAATCCAGACGACGCTAGCAGAAAATCATGGAACTCAATGCGGATACTGCAGCCCTGGCTGGGTTATGGCTATGAACAGGTACTTGTTAGATAACATAAATAATAATAAAAGAAACTAAGAAAATGCTTTTAGTTATAATGTACAATTCCACAATGGTTTAAATAGTCTATTACAGAGCACGAAGAAACTTACTATGCTTGAAATAGAAAAATCATTCGGAAGTAATGTCTGTAGATGTACAGGTTATAGACCGATATTGCAAGCTTTCAAAAAATTTGCTCAAGATGCTCCTAGTTGGAAAAAATTACATGATATAGAAGATCTAAACATTTGCAAAAAGGACGACGGTGAATGTTCAAAAAGTGACTGCGAGGATTATGACTGGTGTATTGTTTCAAAGGATGATGTTAAATACCAATCTATAGTTCATATTAAATTAGAAGATGGTCGTGAATGGTTTCGAGTTCGAGAACTTTTTGACGCGTTTAATATTTTAGGTGTAAAGGGTGATGATTCATACATGTTTGTTGCTGGAAATACTGCAAAAGGTACCTTAATTTTTTTATGATGAATTGATTAAAGTTCTATTCCCATCCAAATTCATTTCAACCCTTCAATCCCTATAAACCCCCATGCAGTCACATGCGTCTGTCGAATCCCGAGCGGTCGCATGCGTCCGCACCCACCCACAGCACTTTAAACTATTAAAACTTATATTTAGGGACTACTTTTCTATTAGAAGTCTGGCATTATAATTATTATTATATTAAATTATATTAAATCTATACAAAGTTTTCTATCCTCTGGTCTAAACAAAAGTCAGGTTTTACTTCATTACAAAAAGACTTTATTGTACTTTACTGTACTTTATTAACTTCCTTTGCGGCCGCTTCTGGAAGAAAGAGTTAATCATAAAGAGTCCCTCTTTCTCCGGCTTTAATTATCTCCATAAAACTGATTTTATATAAAATAAAGTAAAATGAATAACCGTCAAATTAGTTTTATATAAAGTATATTGTCTTAAGCTTTCATAAAATTGTGTCTTAGTTTCTCTTAACTTTATTTATATTTGATAACAAAAACATACCCAGCGGATGTCTGCAGCGTGAAAACATCATTATTTCTATATATTACTCAAAGTTATTTACGTAAAAAGATAAATTTTATTTACACAAACAATTTTCATACCAATTTTATAATAAAACACTGTACTAAAACATTAATAAAACATTAGAAAAATCCAAAATTCAACACAACAAAACACAATAACATCCACACGAAAAGACGTACGTAATGAACGTAGATTTTAAATAAATAACCATAGAGTAACTGACTTTTTATTGCACGAGAGGACAAAAAATTTCGTATTAAGCTTACAATCCCAAACTTCTTTATGGAAAAGTAGTCACTAACCATAATTTGTTTTCTTACAGGCGCATACCCTATAGACCAGTATCCCAGAATACTTATTGACATCAGTATGGTAGCTGAACTAAAGAAGGTTCTCAAAGATCAAAATTTAGTCGTTGGTGCCGGATCAACAATTTCAGAAGTAATGGAAGTATTCAAAACAGTGGGTAAACAAGAATATTTCGAATACCTGCTAACATTTTATGAACATCTTACACTTGTTGCTCATATTCCCGTTCGAAACGTAAGTACTTGCAATTAAATATTTTATCCAGCAGTTCTATTATTGGGTTCTTTTATATTTTTTTAACTATTATAATCCAGTTTTTATCTCTAAGCTGATGGGAAGTGGCTATGCAGCCGACATTGGTAAAGCGCATTGACTTAGCTTAGCAGAAGCCGATTCACTCTTGTTTTGAGTACACCAACGTTATAATCGGTTAGAAAGACAGGTTCTGACAAATTATTCTTTTTTTTTATGTACATTTTGTGTATAAACGACAATGTAAATCGCTTGGTTCGAATGTTTGACATGTCGTAAACAAACACAAAACTTGTTATTTTACTAGATTTCATAAGTATTTTGTTTTTTGTTCCAAATTATTACGACCTGTAACCTAAAAACCATGACTAGGATTTTAAAATATGGGGTATCGTTAGATTTGTATTTATCTCTTGAATGTATAAATGTCGTATGTTTCCTAAAATAATTTCTAAAGATTGTACTACATTGGTGACTACTTATCCTATGCGAACAATATCTAGCACCGTAAACCCATTTCAGGCTTTCTCATGTTTTTGTTATGTTGTATGTTTCCCAGTCTACCACTCTATTCCATGTTAACTCTGATGTTTAAGCAAAAGCGTATGGTATGGAGAAGTGGTGAGCCCCTGTCATGCAGCTTTTGGCAGCTTTTTTGTGCTGTTCGTAACTTGCAGTTTTTCAGAAATTGTCATCGTGATCAGAAATCACCAAAGAGGCATTTTCGTCATGATCACTACGTTTGCAACAAACAATATGGACTTCTATAAACACAAGTATACGTCTGTAAAATAAAACATATAATTAGGTTTCTTATTTTTTTTTATATAATAGGATGACAAACGAGCACACAGTCCACCTGATGGTAAGTGGTTGCTGTAGCCCATAGACATTTACATCTATCCTCGATTACGAATCAAAATGCAGATGCGTTGTCACCCGTGAGGATAGATAGAATATGTATAGAAGAGGATAAGATAGAATGCCTCGTTTCCAGTAAAAAGGGTCTCCGGTTCTCTACACTCACCATACGAAACACAGCAGCATTAAGCTACTATTTTACGCTGGTATTCTGTGAGAGCGTGGTCCTTCCCCATTCGAGGCGACCCATTCGTGCTACAACTATACTACTAATATGACTGCAGCATGGCTCTACCAGTTATGAAATGTATTAATAATGATTTGTTTATTCAGTTTACTTTTATTTAGTAACCTTATCTATATTTTTTTTTAATTTTAAAGCTGGGAACAGTAGCTGGCAATCTAATGATAAAACATGAACATCGTGAATTTCCTTCAGATATTTTCGTGCTTTTTGAAACAGTTGGCGCAAAACTAACAATTGGTAAGTATAATTTAAAAAATATTTTAACGATGCAAATTGTTCTACGATATAGAGAAAATTAAAAAGTATTGAAAGGTTGTTGTCAGAAATGAAATTATTTTATTTCAGTGAATGGTCACGGTTTTAGTAAGACCGTATCTCTTCAAGGATTTCTCAAAGAAAATATGAGAGGCAAAATAATTCTCAAAGTGTTATTACCCCCTCTAAACAAAAACTACAAAGTACTGTCATTTAAGGTAATATTTTATTTTATTTTAAGGAAACTAATCTACAGTTTAAATTATAATACTTTAATAAAAAATTGCACAAGTAGTTGCTTACTGGTTGCGCGGAAAACGAATACCTTCGCATTTTAAGAAGATTTGTGTTTATAGAAGAGGGTTATTAGAGCAATATATAATTTAAATCCAAAACAGTCACTGAGACAAAAATTTAAGAAAATTAATATTTTAACTCTGACCTCTCAATAAATTTATGAAAATGTAATGTAAGTACACAAAAATAAAAGTAGTTTTGCGAAAATAAGTAATATTCATTCTGTAAATACTAGGAACAGACACAACCTAGTAGTACCAGTTACTCGACTCCACCGAGTCAGTAATTCATTCTTAGGGCAATGTATACGCTTTTACAACAAAATCCCAGAAAATGTACAAAATTTGTCATACACAAAGTTCAAAAATGTTATTAAACTTAGTTTGTATAAAAAGGGTTATTATAATATTAGGGAATTTATGGATGATAATAACCCCTGGGAAGGGTGATCGCTAGGAGGTGACAATCGAGCTCAGTTGTGGCTGTAGCCCATAGACATCTACATCTATCCTCGAAAAAAAAGTACAGGTGTCCCCAGACGAAAAAGTACTATTCACGCTGGTATTCTGTGAGAGCGTGGTCCCCCGGTCGAGCCGACCCAACCAAGCTATTTCTAATTTGTCTTGTGTTGCTAATTGTAAACATGATTGTAAGCTATTATTTGAAAAAAAAAATAATCCCGCTGGGTTTCTTGCTGGTTCTTCCCAGGACAGAGGTTTTTTTTTTTTTTTGGGAACCAGTGGTAAATGTAAAAAGTGACTTTCAATAAGTATTGTTATAATCTACATTGAATAAAAAAGTTTTTGTTTAGTTCGCCAGTATTTTTTTATTGGACAACACAACAGATTACATCATGACTTAAAACTATAACTTACAATAGTAATGGTGAGATACAAGACGTAATCCTTAAACGTGTTATCACGGCATTCCAAGACTGAGAAATTTTAATAAAATTAACTTACTATAAACTTAACTACTCGGCTTTCCAAAATCAAGAACTTACTATAATGAATATCAATCAATGGGGATGTCCATGAAAATGTCTTTTAAACATTCTTGCAAGAGAGTTGGATGGGGGGTGGTTTCTCCATTCATCTTTTTTCGAGGCTGTGTGAGTATTTTGCTTCAATGAAAACGCGCGCTCTGCTTAGATGGAAGTGGAGATGGTCGAGTAGGTAAAAGGGCGTGTGCTGGCACCGCTCGTCAACTTGTAACGCAGTGTCATCAACCTCGAGGTTTCTTTCACTGTCACCGTTCTATTTACTCTGTCAAAAAATACATTGTAATTATGTTTAACATACAGTTTTATGAAATATTGTCACAATATTGTATATATGTATACTATATATTTACATACATATATAACTATACGAGAAGAAAACAAGACTTTGCTTCCTGCAAATAAAAAATTATTTCGTACGGTTCACAAAAAGTACGGTTAACAAATTGCTCCAGTTCATTCTTTTTGTGTATGCAATTTATGCACGTTGTTAAAAGGCCTCCACAATACAGGAAAACTTGACATTAGAGGTAATTTTGTAGAAAGCTTAGTATAAACTTTAATTTTTTATTATTTATATAATTTTATAGATTTAATTTTACATCATATTAATAATTATTATCTTATGAAAATAATATACATACAAATATTAATTAATAAAATAATCCACAGATAATGCCGAGGGCTCAAAATGCTCATGCAATAGTAAATGCTGGATTTCTTTATAAGTTACACAACAATACAGTTATCGAATCAAGAATCGTGTATGGTGGTCTGTCACCACTTTTTATTCGAGCTATCAATACTGAAAAATACCTTATCGGAAAACCACTATTTACAAATGAAACTCTCCAAGCAGCACTGAAGGTACTGAGTGGGGAATTAATAGTAACTGAGGATCCTCCGAACCCTTCAATAGCATATAGAAGGCAGCTAGCTCTCGCACTGTTTTATAAGGTAAGTATCAGTATGTATTTAACATAATATATATTTGCAAGTGAATTTTGATTTTCATAACTATACCAATGTAACTAACGTAGAGTCTAACTTAACGTCTACGTGATTGGGTTCACGGATCGACATTATTTACAGTACTAGGATTTGGAAAATTAAGATTCGGGTTTCACGCTCATATTTTATTTTATTTAAATTTTCAATTTGTTACTTAAAATAATGTTAAATCATTGTAGTTATAATGGTGTATTTTAAATTATATTATATTGTACTACATTGTACCGTAAATTGTTAAACCACTCTATATTTAATCATGAATGCAATTACATGACTATGATCATGATAGTTAAGAAGATTTTCTAGAACGGACATATCAATTTGAAATGGAGAAAACTAATTTAATGTGCTTGTTTATTTCTTGAGAGCTTCCTTACAATAATTAGGATTCCCGGTGGTATAGAAACCAGATTATCTTATGACTTATTAGAAAATCCTGTAAAAAATCTCAGCTTTAACCAATTCGTGGAAAAACGTATATTGTTGATAGTTGGAGCTGGATGAGTTGTGACTCCAGTGTATCCGACCCTGCATCCAAGCCCAAATCTTATTTTATCTTATCACACTACAGTTATATCGAGTTAACAGTTAACTTAATGATTAGTTCAAATTCATTTATTTATTTGCCTTAGCCTAATGATAATACCAACCCATTGAAACCTGCAACTAACTCAAAACAGATATTTTGTCAATACTGACAAGTAAGATTGAACTCTTAGACTGACTCTTAGACTGTAATTATACTGGCTCTTTAATAGGTATGAGGGAAGATAGATAAAAGGGTGGTGGTAAAGGTGAAAACCTAGACGGAATCTTAAGCAAATAAGGAGATCTAGCGTTCTAAAATTAACTAGAGTAATTCATCATCATCATCATCATCATCATCATCATTACAGCCCTTCACAAGTCCACTGCTGAACATAGACCTCCCCCAAGTAATGCCACAAAGCACGGTCCTGAGCCACCTGCATCCATCGACTTCCTGCATGTCTTACCAGGTCGTCACTCCATCTAGTGGGGGGTCGCCCTACACTACGCCTACCGGTACGAGGCTGCCACTCGAGAACCTTTCTTCTCCATCGGTTATCGGTTCTTCGAGCTATATGGCCGGACCATTGCCACTTCAGCTTACTAATCCGTTGGGCTATGTCGGTCACTCTGGTTTTACTGCGGATATCCTCATTTCTGAGTCTATCACGCAGAGAAACTCCGAGCATAGCCCTCTCCATAGCTCGCTGAGCGACCTTGAGTGTCCTCATACGGCCAGCAGTGAAGGACCACGTCTCAGATCCAAAAGTCATCTCTGGCAACACGCACTGGTTATAAACTTTAGTTTTCAGAGATTGAGGTATACCTGACGAGAAGATGTGTCGTAATTTCCCGAACACTGCCCAGCCAAGGTGAATCCGTCGATTCACCTCTCGGTCGAAGTTGGACTTACCTAGTCGGACTATTTGTCCCAGGTAAACGTACTCGTCAACAACTTCGAGCATAGTGCTCCCAACAACTACCAGCATAGGTGTGACATGGATATTAAACATGATCTTTGTTTTGTCCATGTTCATCTTAAGACCTATCCGTTGGGAGAAACCATTGAGGTCATTGAGCATAGTGCTTAGGTTCTCCAGCGATTCTGCCATAAGGACTATATCGTCGGCAAATCGAAGTTGAGTGATGTACTTGCCATTGATGTTAATACCGTATCCTTTCCAGTCCATTAGCTTGAAAACGTCTTCCAATGCAGCGGTGAAGAGTTTCGGGGAAATAACGTCACCCTGTTTTACACCTCTCTGCAGTTGGATAGGTTTTGAGCTCTGGTTCTGTACTAGGTTAGCCACCGTAGCCCTACTGTACAAACACTTCAGCACTTCGATATACCGATAGTCAACTTGGCACCGCTGAAGGGACTGTAGCACCGCCCAAATTTCGACGGAATCAAAGGCTTTCTCATAGTCCACATACGCCAGGAAAAGTGGCAGATTGTACTCTTGGGTCTTCTGTACAATCTGCCGCAGGGTATGTATGTTGTCTATGGTACTGAAGCCTTTTCGGAAACCGACTTGTTCGGGTCGTCGAGTCGATTCGTAATGACTCTCGAAAAAATCTCGGAAATCGGTCTGTAGTTCTTCAAGAGAGCGTTGTCGCCTTTCTTAAAGAACAAGACCACCACACTTCTGCTCCACGCCTTCAGAGTAGTGCCACAATGGAGGACGGAATTGAAGAGCTTCTGAAGGACTTCAAGTACCGGTGTTCCACCCGCTTTCAGAAGCTCCGCTGTAATTCCATCCCCGCCTTGGGCCCTGCCGTTTTTAAGTTGCTGGAGAGCCATTCTAATCTCGCTCAGACTGACGTCCGGGATGTCATCGGAATAGTGTCGGATAAGACTTGCTCTAGGATTGTTACTCACACTGGCTCCAACAATGATGTGTACAGCTGCCCATAGAAGGTAATTATTCTAGATAATTTTATTTTTTTAGTTTTTTTTTAGTTTAAGTTATGAAAACTTTAAAAGCACTAGAAATTCGTTCTATATTGTGCAGTGACAAATTACGTACCTAGTTGAATAAATTGAAAATGAACAAACACGCAGACCCAGAACTGTTTTCCGTAGTCCACCAATACTCGTTTCGTGCAGGAATCGAACCCGCGGCTGGAAGCGCAGTCAGTTCACTGCGCTATAAAGTCAAATCGAGCAATTTTTTCTCCTTTTTCACCTATTGGACATGAGCCTTTCGCCTCTCCCAGGAGTCATATCTTTAATGTACTCGTATTATGTTTTTCATGTCTTTATAAAGGATTTATTTTTATTACAGGGGCTTCTTACACTATGCCCACCAAATGTGCTGCACCCACGGTATCGTACAGGAGCCATCAAACTAAAAGAGACCCGTCCTGTGTCTGATGGTCGACAGATATTTGATACAGACCCTTCCCTGTGGCCTTTAAATCAGCCCATACAAAAAGTTGAAGGATTGGTAGGATATATATAATTTGTCTTTTTTGAAAAAAATTTTTTTCTTTTATAGCTTCTCAAACCTATATAACTTAGTTCAAAAACTTTATACTATTGTATAATAGTAAGGAGTTTGTAGATGATAGCAACCCTTGGAAATAACCACCACTAAGCTATTCACCATATTTCGCCACCAAGCTATTTCTAATTTATTTTGTATTGTTAAATTTGTACCTCATATGGTTGTAAGCTATTATTTTTTAATAATTTATTAATTTTCATTTTTAACTAAAAATTTTCGAAAACATCGATTTTCTTACAATAATTTCTAATACTTTAAAAATAATTGAGAATACCCAGAATAATTTTTCGCATTTTATATGAACGAAGTTCTTGAATGCGGTCTCCATTTAGCTACCTTGGGTACCTTTATTTATAATTGCATGCCATTAACACATAAAAATAACTCGCTGTACGGCAGTTATTTCGAAACATTTCAGACAGTTACTTAAATTATATTTATAAATTTATAATCAGTTTATTGATTTTTTGTAGATTCAGTGTGCAGGAGAAGCACCATATACAGAAGACATACCTCCATTACCACAAGAGGTTTTTGCATCATTTGTATTAAGCACTGTTGCCGTGGGTGATGTAGAAGTTATTGATTCTACCCGTGCTTTAGTGAGTTTCTTTTTTATGTTAAGAATTATCACATAATTGTCATATTGACCACAAATTAAATGCTTCCTATGAAAAATAAGGTTGATTATTACAAAGAATGTTCCTTATTTGCAGAGGGAACCAGGAGTAATAGCATTCTACACAGCTAAGGATATACCAGGAGTAAATTCGTTCACTCCTTCTGGCAGCTTGTTGAGTCCGAACAATGAGGAATTACTTTGCAATGGCAAAGTTAAATATTACAATCAACCGATTGCAATAGTTGTTGCTAAAACTCGACAAATAGCTGATAGAGCTGCTAAATTAGTAACAGTAAAATATGCCAATGTAGTGAAACCACTTTTAGACATTAAAATAGCTAAAAATATTGCTAATAGAAATACTATGTTTTCAAATATCGCTGAAACAGATAGAGGCAACGACGTCATTAAAGTAATAAGCGGTTCGAATACAATCTATGGACAATATCACTTTTGTATGGAGACATTAGTTTGTGTGACTCGACCTACAGAGGAAGGTTTGGAAATACATTCGGCAACACAATGGATGGACGGAGTACAAGTGTCAACATCGCGTGTTTTAAATTTACCAGAAAATAGGTGATGTAAATTTAAAATTCGTCCAAATATGAAAACATTATAACATTTTCACGATTCAGTTAAATATGATCCGCAAAAATTTATGTTTAACGTTAGTTTATACTTTTTAGCTTTTAATTCTTTCAAATATATAAACATTATAAAATTTTCAATAACTATAATCCTGTTAGAGAAGGTGCACAGAAACCTACGTTTACGTTAAGTTCGGATCTACCGGGTCAGGACGCTCTGACAGAATACCAGCGTAAAAGCAGACCAATGTTTCGTTTGGTCGGTGTAGAGAACCGGAGACCCTTTTTTACTGGAAATAAGGCATTTCATTTTATTCCTAAGGGGTAACAACGTATCTGCATTTTGTTTCTCATTCAATGATAGATGTAGAGGTCTATGGGCATCAGCATCCACTTATCATCAGGTGGAATGTGTTCTCATTTGTCATGTTTTTCTATAAAAAAATTACGAAATTAAATAATGAAGATGCAGTAAGAGAATTGAAAGTGAACGTTAGTTTGCACGCATATTCAATCCTGTTTGCATGCACTTTAAATTTTGTTTTGAAATCATTACATTATGCGACATCGACTTCGTCAAGTCGAGTCAAGAAAGTGTTTTTTAACTATAATGAGGTCCAGAAATAAAACAGAAAAATTTACAAAAAAATAAAATGTGTATGTTGCATGCTATATTGTCACAAAACTTCGTTTTCAGCACTTTTTAACACGTATTTTATTCATATTTGAATACGCTCCTCCATAACATTTTTATAGGATCGATGTACATGTGCGGCGACTCGGCGGTGCGTACGGATACAAAATCACTCGATCTCTTCAAGTGGCAGTTGCATGCAGTCTGGTAGCCTACAAACTAAACCGACCGTGTCGGTTTATACAATCTCTTACTACTAACATGAGAGCAGTAGGCAAGAGATTACCTTGCAGTACTGATTTTGAGGTATATTTTTGCAGTTATATTTGAATAAAATTCAACAACTTAGTTAGTTTTGCCGGAAAGCACGCACTAACAATACGAAAGAAAAAAAAACCTTCTACTTATTTACTATACCTTGTCTTGGAGAATTTCTTTGAATGTGACTTAGTAATTAAATAATCAAAGACCATTACAAATTCCAATCCTGTGCTGTTTCTGCTTACCAATAACATAAACACTCACACCTGTTACCCACATGTGGTGGTAGGCAGAGGTTACGGACTTCATTTTACCACGATCCTGACACACCTCTCTCGCTTCTTTTACATCCATATAACTACGTATACACGCTTGTTGGTTAAGGGTACTCCTAATCTCACCCATTTTCAATATATTCCCAATTTGGTTGATAAACCTTCATGTAGGGCATTCCTTCCTGACTCTACCGTTCACATCCGCGATATAAAATTTACTTTGTCACTCTTTCCTCTTTCATTCTTTCTACAATACCAAAACACCGAAGAATTCCTTTCTTTATCCTGGTCGCAACATCATCTTCGAAAACACACTTATCTCTTATCACACAATTTCTCATTCTGTCATTCAGATTCAGCCAAAAGAACAAATTTTTATCCTACAATCATTGTCTCATTTATCATATTTCTAGGCTATGTGAAGTCCCACAACTCACATTGTCTCCAGTCCACAACCTAGTCAGAAATAAGAGAAGCCCAGCAGTGTGGCGGCCACAAGTTCTATTGTACGAAATCTGCCATTAGTGAAGATTTTTTATATATAACATGGGTGAAAAACAAGCATACGGTCCACCTGATGATAAGCGGATGATGTGGCTCATAATCATTAACATTCAACCTCGATGAATCAAAATGCAGGTGCGTTGTTACCCCCGAGGACTAAGATGGAATGCCTTGATTCTAGTAAAACGGGTTTCCGGTTCTCTACACTTATCATACGAAACACAGCAGCATTAAGCTGCTATTTTAAGCAGGTGTTTTGTAAGAGCGTGGTGTTTCCCCGATTGAGCAAACACATTCGTTTTACAACCATAATATAGCTGCAGCGTGGCTCTACTACATATAAAACAATGTTCATGTTTTATAATATTTATTTCTTTCAGATCGGCGTTAATGCTAAGGGGATTGTACAATATATGAATTATAAGCTATATGACGACCACGGATACGTCGTCAATGAACCCTTCTTATTCCTTACAACAGACATTTATAATAATTGTTACAGTAAAACGAGGTGGAATTACAAATCTTTCAATACTACAACGGATAATCCATCGAACTCCTGGTGCAGATCCCCAGGTAATAAATTAATTGCAAGAACTTAATTATCAAAATTATCAAAAATAAATATTGTCAATATTCATTGGATATTTCTCTAATAAACAAAAGTAAGAATTCCTCCAATAATATTAAAGTATTTACAATTAATTTTCATAACACACAATATAAAAAAGTGTTATATAGAAAAACTAAAACTATAAATTTAAATTTTCAAAAAGTGCTGCTGCCCGTGGTATCGTGCTAAGGACGCTGACTGTGTTTCCTCGCTGGATAGCTATACTTAGCCTTTGAGCGAGAACACCAGCCTTCTTATCATCAGCAGCGACAGTCAGTCGTGAATACAGTTCTTTTAGGAACTTCATTGCACGTGGACCTAATAGACCGATAGTCTCTACAGCAAATGGCACAAATATTTCTCAAAGACTCATATTTGCGCCGTTTACTTAATTCAGCTGTTTCTGATGCCGATTCGGCACTAAAAGGGGTACCCCTGAGATGAGAGGCCGCAAAAGTATCAACGCAAATAGCATCCCACACTAGAGCTTTACCTCTCTCCCAAGGGACCAAAGTCATACCGTCGGGTCTCTTGCCACCGTCTCTAAATATCCCGTAAGGCTCTAAAACCGAGGGAATATTTATGGAGACAAAAACCCTTCGGATGACTTCAAAAGACCGTGGCGGAAAACCTACCTGCACTTCTCTTACATAAAAGTCCGTGGAGTCAAACTCATGGACGCTGTTACCACAGGGCACTGGAGAGGTTACTTGATGGTACAGCGTGTAACCAGTCACTAGATTCCTTATTCGAAATATCTATAAGGGAAGCCTGATCTTGGTCACTGTGAAAATTGTGAAATAAATATTGCTGGACACTCCGAACCAACGGTATATCCCACTGTTTTTGTTGGTTAACTTCCAGTGGGACATTTTCGCGTTAGCCATGTTTGACTTGCGTCCGCAGCACAGCCTAGGTCTACTTTATTATTTAAAATTATGTTACATAAGTCTTTGTCACTGTGCAAGAAAGCAAGGAAAGCAGGCAATACGACGCCAGAATCATTTCGTACACCAATAACACCAAATTTTATAGGTAAAGTAGCTTGCCTCCAGGTTGTTGTATTTAATCTCAAATTTTGATTTTAAAAGCTACTTTAAGATAATGATTTCTTATATTTACGCGACCATTGCATATGATTAAAACTACTTTTACGGATTTTATCGCGTTTATTTTTACTTTTTATTTTTAATTCCCGACGTTTCGGGCGCTTTCCAGCACCCATGGTCACGGGGGACTGAGATGACTGACGTCCCGATGTCATTGTTAAACCCGGAGTACCTTCAGCTTTTATATAATTAAAAAAGCTGAAGGTACTCCGGGTTTAATGATCATGCGAGGAGATCTGTTTATGACTTTGATTTGCCATATGGTCTGACACAACTGGTTACTGCGCCTACGCGGATTCCAGATGTAGAAGATCATACACCTTCGCTATTGGACCTTCTACTAACCGCTCATACGGACGGATATCAGGTTTCTGTTGACGCCCCTTCAGGCTCGTCGGACTATTGTCTTGTCCGGAGTGTGGTGCCCGTTATATTAACGTCGCGGTGCATTCTGCAACCTGCCGCCGTGTTTGGCACTGTAGGTCGACCTATTGGGATTGGATGCGGTATTTTTTTGCATCCTACCCTTGGGGACGGGTTTGCTTCTCGCCGGACGATCCTAGCCTTGTTGATGATTCTGGTGCTTATGTGGTATTTCAGGGTATGGAACTTTTTATTCCGTCCTCTGTGGTGCCCATCGGAGGTAGATCCCATCCGTGGTTTGGTCGTTCCTGTAAAGTAGCATCACGCTAAAAGTAGGAGTGTTACCGGGCCTGGGCTGACGCATCAACGTCCCGGGATATAAGTACCAACACTCTTTAAAAGAAGTATAATTCCGCCTCCAGGTCTTTCAAAAGAGCCATTTCAGAGTCAGCCAAGGCAAGGTCTGAGCACATCGGCAGAATTGAGGAGAAGCTAGTTCACCTTCCTTCGATCTCTTCCATCTCTTCACAGAGAGGAAGACTCACTGGCCCATGCCAGAAAGGAGAAAGCCGATCTGTTAGGCACCAGTTTTCCGTCCAACTTGACTCTCGATGACGGGGGAACAATCCACCTACCATTCCGCGGTGTAAGTGCTCCAAACCGGATGTGCGGTTTACACAGCGTTCGGTTCGCAAAGCACTATTCTCCCTGGACGTCATTAAGTCGAATGGGCCTGATGGAGTCCCTCCCATTGTGATGTGTACTCCGGAGTTGGCACCGGTTTTAACGCGTCTTTTCCGGTATTTTTATTCCCAAGGCATAGTCCCAAATTCTTGTAAGACAGCTTTAGTCCACCCGATCCCTAAATAAGGTGACCGCTCAGACCCGTCCACCTACAGGCCTATCACCATCACCTTTTTTTCTCCAAAATAATTGAATCCATTGTAAACTGCAAGCTCATGACGTACCTTGAGGATCACCAGCTGATCAGTAACTGTCAATTCGGTTTCCGTTGTAGTCGATCAGCTGGTGATCTTCTGCTATACCTTACTCATAGATGGGTGGGGGCGGTAGAGTCCGATTGGGAGAAGGCCTTCGATCGGATCTGGCACAAAGCGCTTCTTTCGAAACTCCCTTCCTATGGGCTGCCTTGGATCACTATTTGTCTTGCCAATCGGAACATCAAGGTATACGGTGCAATGCTCTGATTACAAGCCTATTAACGCTGGTGTTCCACAAGGCTGCGTGCTATAACTAACGATGTTTCTTCTGCATATTGTAACGCTCCCCCTTCTTATAAAAAATATAATTTATTTTACACATTATATTGAAATTACATATACACCACGTAACATAATTAACGCACTTTGAGAAAGTAGTTTGTTCAAAATCGTTTACTGAATCGATTCCTATCATTTTTAATATAGGTAAATAATTAAAACTACGTAAATTACAGTCACACTAAATCTGTACAGTCAAAACAAACTGAAATGTACCGTAACTTAAGGCAATAAGACTTTTAAGAGTGCAGTTTTATTCGTATTGTTACTAATTCTGTTATTCAATAAAAATAAAGAAAATAAAAGATTGCGAAAAATAAAGATTTGTACTGTGACCACAACATTCTTCCGGAATTAGTTTAATTCATTTGATAAATAATCAGTGCATAAAAATGTTTAACTAAAAATTCAGTGTATGTAATATGATTATAACATAATATACTAATTGCGGTATCTGAGGGTGTGCGTTAATTACGTAACATATTGTATATGTGACCGAGATACATATAATATGTTTCGTTTTATGTCGAATTTAGGAAATATGTAAAAAATATTCCAAAACATTTAAAAGAGTGTGCTCCATAGCCAAGTCGTTGTCACACATTGACACTCCATGTCATTTTAATTTTATTAGAAACAGTTTTTATTTTGTTGCTCAAATACAATTATTTGAGCAACAAAATAAAAACTGCTTCTAATAAAATTAAAATGATATGGAGTATAATTAATAGTGAAACTGGTAAGGTCAACTCTCGCTATTCAATCTGCCAGTTAACTTTTAACAATAAATTAACTAAATCAGATCAGGACTTTGCAATGGTTTTAGAAAAATATTTTACTGATATTCCGATCTTAACCACTAAGTCACTGAATTCTTCTCCTGCCGTCACCGAATCATTACTTAAACAAAATGTAAATGTGTGTACAAAGAATTTTACATTTCATAAAGTGTCATCAAATATTAAGAGAACTGATTAAGAGAACCGCCTATCTGTGGGGGATTTCTTTTAAAGTTATTGCGTCTATAATAGATACAATCGCACCTCAACTATCTATTATTTTTAATACTAGTGTCGAATCTGGTGTGTTTCCTGATTTATTGAAGCATAGTAAAGTAATACCTTTATTTAAATCAGGTAGTACATTGGACCCCGGTAATTTTAGACCTATTTCTGTACTGCCAACACTTAGTAAAACTTTTCTTGATCAAATGTAAAAAAAATTTAATGTAAATAATTTACTTCATAAAAATCAATTTGGATTCACAAGGGGTCGCTCGACAACTGATGCTGGTGTTGAGCTGATTAAATATATATTTAGTGCATGGGAGAATTGACAGGATGCTTTGGGTGTATTCTGTGACCTATCCAAAGCCTTCGATTGTGTTCACCATGAAACATTAATCAGGAAATTTCAACACTACGGTGTAAGAAGTGATGCTCTTAAATTAATTATTTCATATTTAAGTGACAGAACGCAAAAAGTTGTCATTAATAGTATCGGTTCTTCCGGGTCGATTGTACAAAGTGGCGTGCCTCAGGGCTCAATTCTCGGCCCTTTTCTATTTCTTGTATATATTAATGACTTACCTTACATAATAGGGGATAACCATGATATAATATTATTTGCTGATGAAACTTGATTAATTTTCAAATTAAAACGACAGTTACTAAATTACGACGAAGTATATAATGATATAGCTAAGTTAGTCAATTGGTTTAATGTCAATTATTTGCATTTAAATGGAACTAAAACTAAATTTATGAAATTCGTAACTCCTAATGTTAAACATGTCAATACTAATGTAATTTTAAATGGGGAGGAACTAAGTTTTGTTGATACCACAATTTTTCTTGGAATCACACTAGACGCAGAGCTTTCATGGCTCCCCCATATATCAAAACTAGCTAGCGGACTTAGTTCTGCAGCATATGCTGTAAAAGAGATCTTACCAGTGTTGAAACAGCTAGAATAGTTTACTTTAGTTATTTCGATAGCATTATGTCGTTTGGTATTTTACTATGGGGACACGCGACTGACACTGAAATTATATTTATTTTACAGAAGAGGGTCATTAGAGGAATATATAATTTAAAACTAAAAAATTTAAGGAAATTAATATATTAACTCTGGCCTCCCCAATACATTCATGAAAATGTAATGTACGTGCACAAAAATAAAATTAGTTTTGCAAAAATAAATAATATTCATTCTGTAAATACTAGGAACAGACATAAGCTAGTACCAGTTACTCGACTCCACCGAGTCAGTAATTCATTCTTGGGGCGATGTATACGCTTTTACAACAAAATCTCAGAAAATTTACAAAATTTTTCATACACAATGTTCAAAAATGTTATTAAACTATGTTTGTATAAAAAGGGTTATTATAATATTAAGGAATTTACGGATGATATAATAACCCCTGGGAAGGGTGATCGCTACCAAGCTATTTCTAATTTGTCTTGTGTTGTTAATTGTAAACATTATTGTAAGCTATTATTTAAAAACAAATAGTCCCGCTGGGTTTCTTGCTGGTTCTTCCCAGGACGGAGGATTTTTTTTTTTGCGAACCAGTGGTAAATGAAAAAATTGACTTTAAATAAGTATTGTTATTATCTACATTGAATAAAAAAGTTTCTGTTTCTGTTTCTGTTAATTCTAAATGATCTTTCTAAAGGTTTAATAATAGGCCGCTTGTAATATTTTTGGCATGATCGTCTTAGTTAGGACCCTTATTTACGTTGTGTTTGTTGAGTGACTTAGTTCTTTTAGGTGCCTTTTGGAAGAATGAATATTTACTGGAGCAATTGAAGGCTGTTGGTAGTACCTTATAAACAAAGTGAACCTCGTTCACGAAGACAGGGCTCGAGAAAGGTTAAGAACATAAAACGTCCCTATTCCACATGTATCATGTTTACATTATTAATTTATGAATAATTATCCCTTCCCGCTTGGCTATATAAAATACTCAATACAAGGCTTCCGCTCTCCCACATTTATTTTAAAAAGATGTTAGGGAGGCACACGGCACCACACACGCCGTGCGCGGTGAGCGCCAACTATTTTTATGCGCTCCTCCCGAAGGGAATGCTAATTCGGGAACTGGGATGTAGTCCATAGAAAAACAACTGGCGAACCAGTAATAGAGAGCTTGGGCCCTTGGTAGTGCGTAAGCACAAATATCGACCGAAGTCGCGCATGTCAATGCGTGTAAACGCCATACAGAATACGAACGAATTCAGCCACAGTGAATGTACGTCACATGGTTTAGGCAAATAGGAACACTGGCCGTTAACACTCCGTGAGCACCACCACCTGCCAGACCGCTGCTCCTGCAGACGTGATGTAAGTGTATGGCATTACCACCAATTACATGATCAGCACGGCTACTAGCCGCAGAGTGTGTCATGAGATTACCGCTCAACTCAAGGCAATGGGAGAGAGAGCCTTGAGAGTCTCCTCAGATCCTCCCTCCAGCTACCAACCGTATGAGGTCGATACATGTGCTCTAGCAACTAATACAATGGAATATATAGCCATAAGGAAGTTATAAGATAACAGTAATAGTTCGCCATCAGAAAGGATTTGTGTCACTGACGTTGAGTAAATGCATTTTCGATCATGTTTGTCTCACCCACAAACAAGTTGCCTTCAATCATTCAAAGGTGGAAAAGTTACAGGGATATATTATTATGTTGTTATATAAAACACCATGGAAGTCAGACAGTCTACAGCCTAGTAATGAAGGAAACCAGACTTTGGCAAAGCTACTTAGGTGTGAGTCAAACCAAGACGCAGAGAGCGCCGTTGAGTATAGCATCCAACTTAACAACCATCGCAAATACGCAATACTGCAGAAAGCAACAAGCATCAATACGACTATCGTCGGGTTTACACCATCCCAAGGTCCCTCATACATCCCAGCAGACATCACTACCCGCACACATCTACCGACCAGAACCACAAGAATACGTCGAATCAGGCGCAGCACACCCGCAGATTCATCACAAGACGCAGTACCGAAAGTAGCAGTAACTATCAATGCAACTATCATACGGATGGCGCTCCCTCACAACACACCCACATGATCCCTATCAACTTTGGTAACAAAATTAGTATTGTTGTTAACTAAAAAATAACACGAACGTATCATAGTATTCAATTTGAAATAGAAATTAATTCATTATGTATACAAAAATAATGTATATCAGCAGTAAAGTTCTCCCTGGCCTTACTGTTGCAAAATACAATATATTCTTGATGTATTCGTCCATAAATATTGCATCGTTATTTCGTGTCATCACTTCAGGCAAACAATCTAATAAATATATTATCACATATTAATTAATATTGAAATATATTATTTTCACAAAACATTATTTTTCTGAAACTTATTCATTAAACTTAATCACTTTTTATTATACTTTATTTATTTTGACATAATGTCTTCCTCAATGTTTCTTATCAAAATTATTTCCATAATTAATAATTATCATTCACAGGTACACTGGAATGTATTGCAATGGCAGAAATGATAATGGAACGAATATCGTACGAACTATCTTTAGATCCAATTGAAGTCCGTCTAGCGAATGTAGATCCCGCTTTTCAAAACGATTTAAAAGAAATGCTTGATACAATAATAAAAAATTCTGATTACGCCGAGCGACGAAAAGAAGTTGATAAATTTAATAGAGAAAATCGTTGGAAGAAACGCGGTCTGAGACTTTCATTCATGAAGTGGACTCCAGTTGGTCCTTTCTATATAGATATTAATATGGCAGTCTATCGTGATGATGGTTCGGTAGCAATAACGCATAGCGGTATTGAAATGGGGCAGGGTGTTAATACAAAAGCTGTACAAATATGTGCGTATTTTCTTAAAATACCCGTTGAGAAGATTCAGATTAAAACAAATAATACAATCATTGCTCCGAACGGTATGATATCTGGCGGAAGCTTAACATCACAAAACGTTGGAATCGGTGTACAAAGATGCTGTGAGGAACTATTAAAAAAATTAGAACCAATTAAAAATCAAATGAACAATCCAACATGGGAGCAACTGATTCAAAAAGCGTATGCATCTGACATTGATTTACAAACGCACGCATTTGTTAATGCCTCCGATGTACAGATGTATGATATATTTGGTATAACAGTAGCTGAAGTTGAAATAGATGTATTAACTGGACAAACTGAAATTATACGTGTTGATTTAATAGAAGATGTTGGGCGAAGTGTTAGTCCAGAAATTGACATTGGTCAGGTGAGTTATTAGCGACGATAAATCAGTCACCTTTAAAGGCCTTAAATTGTAGTAACTTGGTAAATAAACACAAATCTAACACTATTTAAGGTTGAAGGGGCTTTCGTAATGGGTTTAGGATACTGGACCTGTGAGAACTTAGTATATAATAGAGACACAGGAGAATTGCTATCCAATCGTTCTTGGGATTACTGGGTACCACAGGCCAGAGACATACCACAAGACTTCAGAATATATTTTAAGAAAAAATCTTATAGTAACGATGCCATTCTCGGATCTAAAGGTAAATTTGTATTTGTTATACATATTATTCTTTTATTTAAAGCCGCAATGCATTCGATGGAGTTAATAAAATATATAACTATGCTTAGATTGGAAAAACGCTTTAATTAAAGTTAAAGTTACAGCCTATATACGTCTCACTGCTGGGCACAGGCCTCCCCTCATTTCTGAGAGGGTTTCAGGGTAAGGAAGTGTCCGCCGCGCTGCCCTAATGCGTGTTGGTGAACTTCACATGTCTTCGAAATATTTTTTTCTTATTCCTCAGACATGTAGGTTGTTTTCCTTCACCACCGAGCACGTGGTAAATCAGCACTTAAAATTGCAATTAACAATTTCATTGGTACTGGCGGGGATTGAACCCTGGTTACTCGCGTTCTGTTATATTTACAGCGAGCGTTAAACACCTGAGCTACCACGGCTCAGATGGTTAAAACGCCTTGCGAGAATAGAATTTATTAAGAAAATCAATGACATCTTTGTTGAACAAGATTACACTTTTACTTTGCAGCTACCGGCGAACCAGCCACATGTATGGCTATTGTCATACCTTTTGCAATTAGGGAGGCTATTTCTCATGCAAGGCTAGAAAGCGGTCTTCCGACAACACAATGGTTTCAGATAGGTAAAGTTATAAATTTTCAAGTCTAACAGTCTTAAAACAAGTCCAAAATTTTCCAAAACCTTGTTTTATATATAATTGCTTACACATAGTTAATTTTTCACTTAACTCGGGTCAGTTCCCGAGTTAGTAGAAAGAGATTTCGTAAGACCCCTTCTTTAAGTATCAAATCATACACTTTCTAATCACTTCCGTCCCATATCAGTTTTACCTTTCCTATCTAAGGTTTTAGAAGCCTGTGTTTATAAGTAGATTTCTAATTTCAGAACTACTTTACTTAAAATAATTCAGGATAATAGAAAAGGAAAGGAAAACAAGAAAGTTACAGTTGTGATGCTCGTTAACTTTTCTAACGCTTTTAACAGAGTTAACCATGATATCCTTCTTGTTATCCTTTCCTATTTTAAGTTTGCACCCTCAGTCCTGGAGTGGTTCTCATTTTATCTTCACGTACGTCAATAGTTTGTCCACGTGGAGCAAATGACTTCACAGTTGGTTGACCTGATTTCTAGCGTACCGCAAGGCTGTATACTTTATCCGTTATTCTTCTCTATTTCTATTAATTCTATCACATACAATATTCATTTTTGTACCATCTGTATGCTGATGACCTACAAAATATATACAGTCTTACATTTGCGACATTTATAATGCGATTAACAAATTGAATTTCAATCTAAAGTCAGTCCGTGATTGGTCCATGCACTTCGGAGTGTCTGTCAACCCTACTAATTGCCAAGCAGTGATTATGGGTAGTTCAAGGATGCTTGCAATTGCAAAAAAAGCATACTTGACGCTAGCCTACTTTCCGTCTATTATAATAATGGCGTGATACCGTTCTCTTCTTCAGTTAAAAATCTTGGTCGCCATATTGAATGTACTCTTACCTGGGATATTCTTATCTCCGAAACATGTCGTAAAGTCTCTGGTTCTTTACGTTCCCTTTATCGCTTAAAAATGTTTCTCCCTTTAAGACTAAAATTATGCTAGTACAGTTACTTATACTACCAATCATTGATTATGCAGACGTGTGTTACCCGGATTAAAAACCAAAATCTTCTTAACAGGCCAGAGCGCCTTCTCAACAATTGGATCAGATATATTTTCAATCTTTGTAAATATGATCGTATCTGTCACAATCGCTCTCGCCTTAAATGGCTCACTATTAAACAGAAGCGTGACTCTAGAATTTTTATTGTTCTCTTCTCTATCTTTTTTATTAAAAAAAATCTTAAATGATCCAACCACTCCTTCTTATCTCATGGACAAATTACAGTATATTTTCTTAACGCATGATAGAACTCTGCGTTCATCGTATAATAGTAAACTAAGTATCCCACTACATTTTGCTAATTATATTAGTAAATCCTTCACCATTCAGGCTGCACTGCTCTGGAACTCCTTGCCCGATGACGTGAGAAAAATGTCTAAAAGGACTGCTTTTAAAAGATTGGTACATGAGCACTTTATAAAGATATTAGATGATAGTTAGTATGGTCAATGTGGTTACTTTTGTTGCTATTTTTACTGTGGTTTTTGTTATATATTGTTTGTATATATTTATGTATGTATTTTTATGTAAATTTATATTGAGTGTCTGTATTATTTTTATTTTGTAATTACTATTATTAATAATTCTATTGTTTTATAAGTCTATTGCATTACTAATATTATTTAGTCCGCCCTTTGTCATCCTTTTCATCAAGGTGCAGTAAAGTGTTAATACATAAATAAATAAATAAATAAATAAAACCTTTCCTAAATGAAAGTAGTGCCCAGCAGTGAGACGTATATATGGATTACCTTTAATATATTATTTTACATATTTAAATTTCAATTTGTATGTATATTAAATAAATATGTCTACACATTCATCATCTTCATCAGCCTGCGACAGTCCACTGCTGGACATAGGCCTCTCTCAAAGCCCGCCACTTAGCCCAATCTTCGGCTTCACGCATCTAGTTGCTGCCAGTCGCTTTGCGCAGATTATCGCTCCCTCTAGCCAGGGAGCGTCTCACACTACGTTTATTTAAACGCGGTCTACACTCTATGACACGCCTACTCCAACGCTCGCTTCTGCGAAAAATGTGACCAGCCCATTGCCACTTCAGCCTGCTAATACGGAAGGCTATGTCGGTGACCTTGGCTCTCCGGTGGAATTCTTCGTTACGAATATTATCCACCAAAGAAACTCCGAGCATAGCTCTTTCCCTTGTCCGCTGGTTGACTTTGAGTTTGTGGAGTAGTCGTACCGTTAGTGTTCACGTTTCTGCACCATATGTGAGTACTAGCAAGATGCACTGGTCGAAGACTTTCGTCTTCAAGCTTCGCGGTATGAGCGACGAGAAGACCTGATGAAGCTTGCCTATCGCTGCCCAGCCTAACTGAATCCGTCTATCGGCTTCATTCTCGAAGTTGTTTATCTGTCTGCATTATCTGGCCGAGGTAGATATATTCTTGAACGACTTTAAGAATTTCACCATCAACGATAATCGGATCTGGTATGACATGACCATTTAGCGTTTATTTTTAGTTTAGCGTCTTAAAAACATCTTTCAGTGCATTTGTGAACAGTTTCGGGGATATTGTGTTCCCCTGTTCCACGATGCAAATGGATAGGTTTTGTAAGACCACCCTCTACTTGGACAGACATCAAGCTTGTAGTGTTTAAATGTCTCAAGACATCTATATATCGCCAGTCAATCCAGCAAAGGTGCAAGGAATTTATAACAGCCAAATTTTCGACGGACTCATAGGCTTTCTCACAGTCCACAAAGGCCAGACACAGAGGCTGATCATATTTATTCGTCTTATGTATAATTACGCTTACTGTGTGAATGTCTTCTATGGTGCCATAGCCTAATTCGATCTCCTTTATACAGATATCTGGCAGCTTGTTTGTAAAGTGGCGAGTTAGTGTGACTCTGGGATCGTCGTATTTAGGGTCAGGTTGCTGATTCTGGGAGACATATAGTGTAACGTACTAGCCTTCGATTTCAGTGAGAATCTCAGGCTTCGATGTGGCGGTTTTGCAATCACATGTCTTCAGTTTTATAATTTGGCTCCTCCCAAGCTTCTAAGTAAAGACTTTAGGAGCCTTGTTTCGCTCTATTGCCTCTTGAATAAGGGTTGCATTAGAGTATCGTAGGTCCCACTATACAGCTTTCCTTACGAGTCTGGTGAGTGCCAGCTGTTCTGATGGCGTGGCTGTTATTGCCTCACGTCGCTTTTGCATAAGCTGAAGTGTCTCGTCTGAGAGCTTAGACTTCCAGCCTATATGTTGCCAAGTCCACAAGCTATTCTCTTCATCCCTTAACTTCTCAACCATACTAATATACATATACATACTAGTGAGATCCTCGTCAATGTTCAGTTCCGGAGTTCCAACTGGAAACGTTAGGATCCTGCTACGGTTTGAAACACATTTGATTAGAGCGTAGAATTTATAAGACGGGCTCTTTCAATCTTGAAATTGATATTCTGAGTGCCTCAAACAAGTTGGTGATCGCTTCCGGTATTAAACCTATTGATCACTGAGACATCTCTAAATATGTAATTTTTGTCCGAAATAATGACGTCGATCTCATTATTCGTCACGTTTTCGGGACTGCGAAAGGTACACTTCCTTTGGGGCTTTTTTGAAAATAGGAATTCATTAGATGAATCATCTACTTTTCTAGGAAGTTGATCAGCATTTGTCTCTTGTGGTTCTGCTTTAAAATCCATGCGGTCTCGTAATTGATTCAACACCTGTATGTTTCCCAACTTTGGCGTTAAGGGGGACCTTAACGCCAAGGTTGGGCGCCAAAAAAATAACGACATTAAAATTAGCTTTAGTAGTGTTGTGTTAAGCCTTCGCTATGTTTCCATACATAGCTTCAACTTTTCCGAGTGTGTCGAATTTGGTGCAAAAACTTGTAATATCTTTGTAGTATATTTTTCACTTATTATTAAAACAATATACGCTACCCTCGCCGACACACTGAAGATTTCTAAAATGCTGTCACAGAGAACTCTATTGAGCAGGAAGCCCACTCCACCCTGGGAAAAATCATGTCCCTTGTGATAGTCGAGTAGGTGGCCTTATTCCAGGATTGACGTGTTCTCTCCATCTCTTCGAACTTCACTCGACTCCAGAACGTGCCATCTTACGTTTTTCAACACAAATTCTAATTCTGCAATATTCTCGTCATCGCAGATTTCATCCATTGTACGTCGCCAGGTCCAGTTTGAGGTGGTATCCTGCCCTCTCCCGTAGATTATTAGCACTCCCTGTTCCACTGCTGCCATGACCACCACCACGGTCAAGTACATAGGTACGGTCGGGAATTGGGGGCCATGTTTTTTTGGTGCTTAACATTGGGAGGTTTTGCCCTTAATCGCCATGCTGGGCAAGCGGTTTGGCGATCGCGATATCAGAAACGTCGCACCTGTGACGCTGCTGCCCGTGACAGCTCGGGATATTTTTGGCCTGACCAGAGAACTGAGATGGTTATTCCGCCATCTGTCGGAAGCCAAAGCTTGTTCCTTTTTCTTTTTGGCTTTTTTGCCCTTAGTCGCCTCGTACGAAACCAACGGGTAGAGAGGGGGTGGCAAGATTAGAATAGAATTCTCCTTAACAACCGCATTTATGCAGCATTTATTAAGCTCTCGTACTTCTTCCGTCACACGCAACTTTCAACACCATACATTAAAGTAGGGGCTAACACAGCGTTATGAATTTACATAAGTCTTTTTAAAAACATTCTGACTTTCCATAATAAAGTGAAGGGCTTCACTCTATTTCCTGCGTTCACTCGTCGTTGTTTGTCTTTATTATATCTACAATCCCTGATAAAAACACATCCCAAATAACGAACTTCTACTTGCTCAATCAACTCTCCTTCTATTTTTATTTTACATGGCGTTTTAATTTTTTCGTTTTAATTAATTTTTTTGTCTTACTTGTATTCACTTTCATTCTATCCAACTCGGCTACCGGTAAAGCTAATATGACGTAGTTATTTATATATATATATATATATATATATATATATATATATATATATATATATATATATATATATATATTTGTTCACTTATTAAAGTTTCCAAACTACTGTCCATAAATTTGTTGAACAACCACAGGGAAACACAGGACACAGCTCTGTCAGACACATTTTTGAATGTCTAACCAGTCAAGTAGACCGCTTTATCCTTAAACAAGCACTGGAGGCCTTATAAAGAGATATTAATGTCTGGATCAAACCAGCGCTCGAATCAAATGAGTTCAGCGTATGCCATAACACATTCCTATCCACTCTGTCATAAGATTTTTCCAAGTCCATGAATGCACAAAATACTTTCTTGTTTTTAACCAAAAACTTTTCATGCTCTTGGAAAAGACCTGATACGTACACCCCATATCCTTTCTAAATCCCGCTTGACCATCCTGAATTTTTCCATCAGTTTCTTTCATAACTCGTTAAATTAACACCTTAACATACAGTTTACCCACGATGCTATGCAAGCCTTTTCCCTAGTATATTTGGACTATAATTGGTTTGCACCAGTCTTTCGGTATCCGCTTCATTTCCCAACATAAATTAAACGAGACATACAAAAGGCCTGCCACCACTACCTCTCCAGCCCTTAGCATATCGAGTGATACCCTGTCATATCTGGCATGCTCACCTGTCTTCATGATTTTCTTTGCCTTCATTATTTCATATACTCTATCTCCCTACCTCTTTTCACTTCTTTCGGAATTTCTATTTTTATTCAGACGGCTCTTCATTCATAAGTATAAAAGTACTCCTTCCATCTCTCCAAACTCGAAACTTCAGAATTTAGCATACAGCCTTTCTCGTTTCGTATAGAATTCTATTCTGTTTATTAACTTATTTTATTCTAGGCTGTTTTGAATTTCCCATGGTAGTTCTTATGAGTTTCTAGAACATTTTGCTTGAAAGTTATCAGATATCCTTTTATCATTCTTATCTGTTCTTTCTTGCCTTTTCCTTTCAACTACTGCTTTTACTCTCTTATTACGACATCTAACATCCAAACTCTGCTACTTCTTCTTTCTATCTCATTTATATCGCCAGAATCAGAAGTTTTATTTGCTAGTAAATCTAGCCATGCTCCCTTCTTTGCTTAAACTTCCATCCATAACTCATTATCTTACCGTACTTTTTTATTTTTTCTTTCATTATTTATCTTACACCGCTTACTTCGGTGGCTGCATTCAACAAACCTTTCCTACAGTCCTTAAGTCTAAATCATTCATACACAATTTGTTCAAACCTATAATATTTTCCCCCAGTTTACATTGATACTTCTCTTTCACACCTTCATCTTGTAACCTTTTTATTTTTGTACGCTGTGACTTTTCGCCCCTCCGAGAGAATAAATTAATCAATTTGTTTACGCACTACGTAAACTTCAAAATGTAGCAGGTCCACAAGCAGCACGTATTGCTTACTACGGTTACGTTGAATCTGTCTTATGATATGGACTACTCTTGTGGGGCAACCAAACGGACGCAAACAAAGCCTTCCTAAGTCAGAAGAAGTGTATTCGTGCACTGTGTAATGTAGACCCTCTTGAAAGCTGTAGACCCCTGTTTAAGGAAAAAAGTATTCTCACTTTAACTGGTTTATATATATTAGAAATCTGTGTTTTCGTTAAAAATAATTCTAATCAATTTGTTACCGTGCAGGAAAATAATAAATTTGTAGCAAAAAGAGATCCGACACGGTGTCGATATTCATCTCATGCCATCTTGTAAAACTACATTATTCTAGAGGAATTGCCTCATAATGTGTCTCAAGGTTTATAATAAAGTTCCTAAAATATTTGTGAATAGCCATAAAGACGAATGAAAAAAGTTTAAAGCAGTGGCTATTAAATTCTGCCTTTTATAATATAAATGAATTCTTTAACCATAAATTTTGATTTTATTTTTATTGATTTTGCTTAACTAAGTAAATTACTATAGATCCAGAATTTTGTGTGATACTTCTTATATGAACAAAAATTTATATTTCTAAAAACATAAATATAAAGTGTTTATAAATGAAAAAGAAAATTTATAAAAGTGTTTATTTCTAATTTTATTTATTTAATTTTAATTTGTTTTTAACATATTTATTTTAAACGATGTTTACGCATGCCACAAAAGGCAAAACATGTGGAAACAAATGTTGACTCTGTATCCATCCGTCTGTAGCCATGTTTTAGCGAAATAAATGATTTGATTTGAGACGGAACCTGACGGGTGGCGAGCCTCATCGCCCGTTTCACTCCCGGATCTTCTTCGCATCTCTGTCTCATTAAAGGGGTGTCGGGAAATTGGGGTCATTTTTTTATTTTATGCTTCATGGTGCGAACTAGGGGTTGTTAGATTTTACGCCGCTACCATGTTGAGGAGCCGAGTCTATTCTTTCGACTTTCTCGCTCGTTTAATACCACCCGGGAGACAGGTGTAGGGTGGATGGACCTTGGGTTAGGTGATTGAAGCCTACGGACGCGAGCGACTTATATCCCCACAATTATGTACATAATTAAATAATTTAATTTATTTACATTTTATAGTTTATATTATTAAATGTTAACTTTCTATTTCATAAATGCTAAATTCTATGTTTCAGATGGTCCGTTCACCGTTGAAAAAATTTGCTTGGCCTCTGCCTCAAATATTCAAGATTTTAAATTCTATTAAGACCATTAAATAAAATAGTAAAACCAAAATTTAATTTCAGATATCTCATTTATTTTGAATACGTTACAAATATGAATTAATATATAAATTGCTTTATTATCATACCTTGATCAAAAATTCGTATTTCGATTCTACTTTCAGGGACAAAATTGGAACATTGCCTCCCGATTCAATGACTTATTAATTGAGAACGCATGCGTCAAATTTCTAGCTTTATTGTTTCTAAATGTCAAAAGTATATATCGTGATACATTTTTAGGTATATTAATTTCGATCAAGGTATTACAAAAAATATTATACGGGAGGAAAGTATGCTATCACAACTCAAGTTCTTATCAACCGAGCTGAAGGCGAGGGTGACAATACCACGCGGGTTACAGTATCATAATTTCCTCCCTAGTGGCGTAATATACTGTTTATTTTTCTATCTGTTTAATTCTAGCTATGTAATTTAAATTAGTGTACAATAAAAGGTATTTTACTGTATTGTGTTGCATTTATAAATTTTATCGCTTTCGATAAGATGCAACAAAAATGGGTTACAAATAAATGGACAGGAGAGCTTCATTGTTTTTTTTTATGGTACCACCCACTGTGAGGCAGTTTATATATTATGTAACATGAATTGCACAAGGACACAAATCTAGACCGGAGCAATTATTTGTGGGTTATTTTTCAAAGAGTATCCAAATTTTAAACTGAAGTTCAAATATATAAATGATGATATACCTTTATTACATTGTTTAAAAATACCAGTAAATAAGGCTTCTACTTTTATTCGAAATTATCACTAGTTGAATGTGATTTATGAGCAACAACGTTTTTGCCTTTCAATCGACCCTTGCGAATGTGTGCGTGCGCAGTAAAATCAACTAAAATAATGCATTATCACGCAATTTGATTTTAAACGATAAAAAGGACTGAATGTTTAAGATTTTTTTTAACTTTTCTTCATAATTTGGCTTTAATACTTATTTCGAACCTTCTCTGTAAATTAGGCCGGTTATTGCAAAATAAGGGATGATCTCTCTATTGTATCCCAATGATATTGACAGCTTATGCATGCCCGTGTGTTTGCCGATCCCGCGTGCCCATTCGGCAAGTAATCACGACTCTTAAATTACAACTTTTAAATTATACAGTCAGAGTTGTTTGTTTCTGATTCTAATCCTTTAACAACATAGATTTCAATGTAATATAAAGCTAACTTCGCTGGATACAAATTTCGATTATTTTAACCTATTTTTGTATTTCCACGTAAAAGGAGGTTTTAAACAGTTTGTAATGTGAAAAAAATGTTGTGTTGTTATGCAAATTAAACAAATACCTTTTTATATAATACTTTAATTTCATAATCTTTCCCTTAAACACTTTTTGAAATAAGACTGATCATATCTATAAAAGTAGAATTGCAATAATTCACTTACAATTAAATAACTTAAGCTTTGATTATACACCTGTCTAGATAGAGAGTTGCGCTACAATCGCAATAAAAATAACGAACCCGATTTGGAGCGCTTGTGTGCTTATTACGCACCTAAATATGCGTAACTGCTATTGTTTAACAAGCGCGCTGCGTCACTTGGAGGCGAGCTAAGTGATAGGTACCAGCTCTTGAATATTTCCCATTATATAAAGTTCTCGTTCGACACTTCATTTTTGATATTTGTAGTATAAATATAAAAAAATTAAATATTAATTTTATTATTTCACTGAAATTGAGTATACATTTTAAACTTATTTTATTTGCTTAGTAATAAAATAATGATGATTGACAATTGTACTTTTATTTTTTTTTATTTGATATTATTTATGTATATTATTTATTGTATTGACTTACTTACTTATAAAATAATGATTTAATATATTATGTTAAATTATTTTCAAATGTCAGATGTGGTAAACATGTGAATTATGTACAACTATTTGTCATTTCTAACCATGTACCATGTTTATCAAATAAATAATATTATTACATTATTTATTTGATAAATATGGTATATATTTTTTGGCCTTTGGTTGTGGCTTCAGACACAACCATTAGCCCGGCTCTGGGGGAGGTAGAGGCATCCTCTCTATCTCCCACTAGGGTAATTCGTGTCTGGCGCGTCCAAGCCGCGGATGTGGGCGCCGTTCACTTCAGTAGGCCGGAGTAAATTGGTGACCAAGTTCAGGCAGGGACCCAGTGCTATGGGGTATAACACAGTCCCTTACCCAGGGTTACGGGTGAAGACTTCAACGGCTGCGAAGGCGAAGATAATAGTTATCGGTACTGCGAAGCAGGCGGAAGAAGCACAAACCTAGTGGAAAGCTGCTCATACATATTGAGACCCCAGGTTACACTGGAGCTGCAACACCATGCAGGGTTATGTAGTAGGGATGGCGGTGGAAGAGAACTCGGTCCAACGGTGGCTCCCAAGCCCTTCAGAAGGGTTACTGCATTGGCGTCAGGTGGCAACCGGCCGTAAAACAAATAGCCAAAACATTTCTCTCCTCACATGATAGCACAAGACAACAATACAGGGCAAAATACTAGGGCGTACCCTCCAAGCGACGCAAATGCGAAAACGATGAATCAAATACTCAATTTCAAAACTGCAATGAATGATGATGATGAAGCGATGATTACTTAGACAAGAACAAACATTCGTATTTACATACTAAAATAAGACTGGCAACATGGAACTTGGGATCTCTTACAGGAAGGAGCCAAGAATTAAGCAAAATCCTAAAGAAAAGATGCATTAACATTTGCTGCATACAAGAAACGAAATGGAAAGGCTCAAAATCTCGAGATATAGGAAACGATTATCAGCTTATATACCACGGTATAGACAGTAAAAGAAATGGGGTAGCGATAGCCTTGGATAAAAAGTTTAAGAACCGCATAGTAAACATCACCCGGAAGAGCGACCATCTAATTGCTGCTAAATTGGCACTGGATGATCAACAAATAATGAACATCTTATCAGTATACGCACCACATACTGGTTGCGCGGAGTCCAAGGAATGTCAATTTTGGGAAGACTTGGACCATATAATACATGAAATACCATTAAATGAACGTAAAATAATAGGAGGGGATTTAAATGGCCACGTAGGAGCTAAAAGTAATACATACGGAGCGGTACATGGCGGGTTTGGACTAGGCGAGTCAAATAAACAGAGAGAAGATATTCTAGAATTTTCAGCCAGACACTTTAACTCAGATAAATACAAACTTCCAGAAGAAAGAAGAACATCTAATCACGTATAAATGTGCAGATCGAGTGTCACAAATTGACTATATTATCTCGGACATGGATGCCCTGGAGAGTCTCTAACATCACAACACCGTATACACCGTATAGCCGTTTACTCATTGCTCAAACCTAACTTTTTACAAAACCTTTATAAACCTATTACAAAAACTTTTGTAGATAGAACACCGCGTACTAAGTAAGAAAAGATCTGGATAGCTCTAAGGGCGAATCACTGCGATGTGTAATGACGGAATACCTAGACTCTGATATTGGAGTAATCTACGAAAACGCCGAAGATATGTGGTCTAAGTTTGAAGCGCATTGTAGAGCTAAGGTAGCAGAAATCCTGGGAGACTCCAAAAGACCCCCCGGAAATGAGAAGGATCCTAACTGGTGGAATGACAATGTGAAGAAGACTCTAGCAAATAAGAAAGACCTCTTTAAGAAATGGCAAAGCTCGCAACTAGATGAAGACAAAGAAACGAAGAAATAGGCAAAGAAATGTGTAGCCATAGAAAGAGCAATTAGTAACCAAGCCTTCTACAATAATTTGGAAAATGCTAAAACTGTAGATGAAGTATTAAAAGTAGCAAAATCTAGAAACAGGATCACTAGGGATATAAAGACAAACAAATACATTAAAACTAAAAACCAAAAATTGTTAACAAACAACTCACAAATTATGGATAGATGGTATGAATATTATAAACAACTATTAAATGAATAATTTCCAAATGAAGGGTGAAGCCCTGTAAATCTACATCTGGACCAATACCCAAGGTGGATATAGTTGAAGTTAAACATGCAATAGCCAAAATGAAAAACCGAAAAGCTACAGGCACAGGCGAGATACCAGCGGATCTAAGGAAAGGCCTTGGGATAACAGCGGCAGTATGACTAACCAAGCTTTTAAACATTATTCTAACGACTAAGTGCATTCCGGACTCTTGGCGTCAAAGCTATCTACTACCTTTCTGTAAAAATAAGGGTGATGTAACGCAGTTTGAAAACTATAGAGGTATTAAATTGACGTCTTAAAATATGGGAACGCATTATTAATAAACGGCTCACTGACATTTCTGAAATATCTCCAAATCAGTTCGGTTTTACAGCATCCAGATTAACTATTGATGCCATCCAAACGATTAGAATCCTTCCTGATGAAAAAACATAAAATAAACAATTATGACCTACATCTAGCATTCATAGACCTAGAAAAAGCATTTGATCGAGTTCCACGTAGGCTGGTATGGGAGGCACTTCGTGCCCAAAGGGTGCCAGAGTATTATATCGAACTTATAAAGGATATGTACTGCAAGACCAACACTAGAGTCAGAAGCCCAACCGGCGTGAGTATAGCTTTTGAAGTCAAAGTCGGTGTCCATCAGGGATCTGCTCTTAGTCCCCTCCTATTCAATCTGGTGATGGACTACCTCACGAAGGATATATTTGTATATAAATTTATGGATATATATATATATATATATACTTTAATATATATATATATATACATATATATATATATTTATATAGATATATGTATAATTATGTATAAATATGTGTATTAGTTATATTATTTATATGTGTAAGTGTATATAATATATATTTTATGTATGTGTAGCATGTACATTTTTGAATTGAATGTGATCATGACAACTTTACTTCCCATAACTCACTCTCTGTTCTACCTAAGGTTAGCTGGTAGAGAATGCCATATAGCATTAAGCTCGCCTTTTGTACAAAATCTTTGGTGCAATA